CACAAGCATCCAGGCAAAAATTGGTGATGAAACATCAGAGGAATCACTGATGCTCATATACATTCTGGAACGATTTTTAATGACAAGGCTTTCCCGATGTATGAAGTGATGTATGCTCATTACACATTTTAGAGTAACATGACAAGTAATCTTTTTGGAAGACAGTAAATCGCAACGCTTATTAGCCAAATTAACTCAGGAGTAGTAGTCAATTACTCTACCCGAACGGTTTTGTTCTTTACTAAGACTGTTGCAAATGCATGCAAACGCGATACGCATCTTTTAAGCTAAACTGAAACTATTTAATTAGAATAGAATCCAAATTGAGAAACGGGCTCTTCACAACCAATTATGGAGTGGCCACAGGTATTATGATCACCACTGTCAACATCATGACTATCAGCACCACCACTGACACTATCATGACAATACTGTCACTTCGGCATTCAGCCGGTCTGAAATTACTTCAAGTGCCTTACGATTTTCCAGTCCTCAATGTAAGTAATGTGTTTATTATTTTTTTTTCGTTAATTCTTTTTTGGCGAATCTGTATCACCGCTGCTATCTCTTCCTCAAATATGGCCGCGATTGCAAAGCTCAGATGCTTGTGTGAACGCAGCAGCAGTAGCATTTAACAGATGGCCCGGGGAAACCCTGAACTATTTTATGATCAAAGCCCGATTTGGGCTTAAGAATGTAAGGAATAACTGGTTTGTGGCCATATGTTTCTTTGTGTTGCAATGTCGCTCAAGTTTTCCGCAAGTACTGGGAGAAGTTAGATCTTGACTAACTACCGAGTAAATGAATGAATGATGTTTCTACTTTCGCCATGGTCTTTTTGTTCGTTTTCAAAACTATGGAGTACACGTCAAACAACCGCAGTTATCAAAAGGTTCAACGTAAAACGATCTAACTACAAAGGCAATTCTTGTGCAGAAAAGTGGTAGCCAACAGCAACCATGTCATAGCAAAAGTACACTTCACAAAGAAAATCCAGAAAGAAAAAGATTCACTCTATCCTACAATTTCACAAATTGTTCTTGCTTTTCCAGTATACCCAATACGGCAACACCATGTCAAGTCAATTGGCCCATTCACAGGATAAGCAATGCGAGAAATCTAGGGGTTGTAGTGGGGAGCAGCCGTTAAGTAAAGTATAGACAGTAACCAAAGCTTGTCACTTTACGCCAGTATTTTGCTTCTAGGCAGTTCATTTGAGCACAGCTCCTAGTATGCTGCGACCGGTTTTCTGTAACTTGATAAATTCAGGGCCTTTCGTGTGTTACCAATTTCTGCTCAAACATGGGGCGGGGGTTAGTAGTTGTTGGGCTCAAGGATGCAACGTCGATTAAAGACGCTAATAACTAAACAACACATCCTGTGAACAATTTGGCTGCCCACAATACTCGCTAGTGTGCATATTTTTTCTTTTCAAAATGGTTTTAGTATAAGCTTCACGATTATACGAAAATGGATAACTCTATCAATTCTCACGTACACGTGTGCAGACGGTTCTTAATGAATAGGATTAATACAATGAATAGTATGACATTTATGCCACGACATATTGATATAGCGTAATAAAAGTTTTGGGGATAAGTACTATTTCTGGAACACTGGAACAAATAATGGATATTTTAAGTAGAGGAGACCTCGAAAATGACAGATGTTTCTCAGCATTAGGATGAAAAAAGTTGTCATTGAAACAGCAGTTGATGTCACCAAGTATGTCCAAACACTGGCACTCGACAGCTTTTCTAAGAATTAACACCAGGGAGGATGTCTAAAAGTCTAAACAATACTCAGAAAATATGCAATGACAGAATGGATGTGAAAATATCCACAAAATATTATATGGGATAAAAGGAGTTTTAAGCCTACGGCAAAACGCTGAACTATTCAAGCCTGTGGCTTATGCTGCAGGTCACAGTTCCATTCAGCTATTTTTTTTACTTCTAAACCTTAATCGAAGCCAAAGCTCTGTACTCATGTCAATGTAGAGGCAAGTGGCGGATGATTAACGAGGCACATCAAATTATGAGAGAATTTATGTCCAGATAATCCAACTTTGATCACCTATGCTACTTTTTGTTAAAAAGGGTAGGCAAAATAAAAGACAAGACAGTAAAGCAACTTAATTCATTATTGTTGGTAAATTTTGCAGACAAGCCTTCCTAATGGACTTGTGGAACAAATACGTGTAAAAGTGTCCGAGTCGGGACTGGATCACAAGTCTTCATTTAAGCTGAGGTGGTGCATACAAATAGTACTTTCTACATCCAGTCACTAAGAGCAAAGTTTCGAGTCGGGACTATGGGGGCAATCTAGTATGTGCTGTTGTTCCTTAAGGAAAACCTGGGGGACATTTTTCTTGTTCAGTATTTAATGGAATAGAAGAATCGTAAAGCAATCCGTCTCAAAGACCTAAACAATTTCTGCTATATCAATAGAAAACTGGGGAAATTAGGATGTATATTCGCGAAGGATGAAAGCGTTCTTGGGAAATGGAGTCAACCTTTAATAGTCCACGAAAAAAGTGCTCACTATGGTACTAAAAGCACAGCAGTTGGAAGAATGAAATGGTTGAATACAGCAGGAGAGAAGCACAACAATCATGATAGACCATGAAATAACCAAACTTTTAGATAATGAATACATTTCTCTGATGCTACAAGGCAACTGTTGGTGAGTGTTAAGGAGAATGAGGGTTCCGACGCATCCGGACTTCTGATATGCCGAGGTTTAAATACAATCTTTGGGTACATTCCTGGATTTAGATTGAGGAAAATTCTCTAAGACGAGTGGATGTAGGCGTGAATATGTTGCTAGAAATGTCTAGAATCGGCAGCTGGAGAATAGGTTATGACAACGACGGTATCGCCGGCATACCCTATGTCACTGCTTGAGTCATCAACCTGAAAACACTGTCTTAGCTGTAAAAGGACAGTTGATAGAATGGTTCCCTGAGGCACATCAAAATCTGACGTAATTCAGCGAGTTATCCTCCCACAAAGTTACGTTGAACAACTGTACTTTATTTTTCATATCAGTTGACTTGAATTTGCGGGTGATTCTGCTTTTCTTCAGCTGCGTCATATCATGCTTTCAGTGAACGTGCCGTGCTCAAGTAAAATTAACGCTAAAAAGTAACAAAGGAGCAATATGCAGCTCTTTCCTTGTCCCCGATGTTACACAGCAAAACATTCTAGTGCATGCAAATGTTCTTTGAATAAGTTTTACCCAGTAACATTTTCTGAATAACATTATCCTCTGATAACAACAATTAATTTTTCAATGCATCCTCAAACGACTAACACTCAGACTAACACGTTTTTTCGGCCATTCCGCCTCCACAAACTCAGGACCATAAATCTTTCAACTTAGCTGATTCTAGCTTAGGGTGGAACTTTGTCTGGTTCATTGTAAACTGGCTGTCATTCATCGCTGACATCGCAAACATACGTAACGGTCTGGAAGTTCGTGGTGAGAGATGCTCTGAGTAAATGACGAAACCAGACAAAATGCCTAATTCGTCCGTAATTTTAGTTAGTGTTGTGAGTATGTTGCCACGTCTGCCCCATAGCCAGACTAAATTAGCTCAGAATAGTCGTTGTAGTGGCGGCTCCCATATTTTTCAGTTTCACGAGAAACCCAAAAAATATAAGAGTACATCCTTGGTGTGTCCGATAGGCGATTAGCGATACAGTTCTTCGTACAGTCGCACACCGCTAATCCTTCCAGCTGCTGTTTTTATCAGGTTGGCGTTCATCTTGTCCCAGAAACAATCCGTCAATAGTTTGGTGGTCTTCAAAATACACGGCGAAGGCTACGATTACGACGTAAATGACAGTTCAAAGATAGACTTTTTGTCGAAACCATCAGATACTCCAAGCAGGTCTGTCGCGGAAATGTTTTTATCGCACCACAGTTTCTCATTTTGTGGCGTCAGGATGTTGACTACACAGGTAGAGATCGTAGAAAATGCGGCTAACCGTAAAGCGGCTTCAAATGCTATTGACTGCACATGAGTTCTCCAATTTACCCCTTAGGCTTTAGATCAGAAACAGAACCCAGGGTGAACGGAAAGCGGGTCGCGGGAAAAGCGAGGTATCGGTTCTAATGATGTGCGCAACTTTTTATCCATGATCTGGGAGCCAATCTCAGTCAACACACAGTCACTGTGGCTGTGGGCTCTTATATTGAAGAGGAAGCGCTGCAAAAAACAATCTTAATGCCCAGAACCAAAACTAGCCGTTAGTTTGGATTACTCTTGGTGGCATATGTACGAGAGGATTACCAGCAATCACCAGACCTGTACACTAAATGTTGTCCTTGATATGTAGCATACTAGAACGCATCTGTGAGTATCGTTTTCCCTTGCTAAGTATTGTGACCGGATAGTAAAGGTAAACGGGTGGATGTTTGGCGACCAATTTTTTTCCGCTCAACATCAAATAAGATTCAGAGAGCTTGAAAAAAAATTTCAGCCTAGGCGGTGCATATACAGTGGGAGTATTTACGAATTTTGACCGATTTCCATCAACTTAAACTATCCAGGCAGCAGCTCATTAGGTAAAGAAATATTTCTGAGGTTCATCATAGAAGTTAACGATGCACCTAGGGCCCCGATGACAATCTAAAGCCCACTGCGTGAAACAAAAAGCTCACATTCACGTCTGTGAATGCAAAACTGACATAGAGTTTTGGCGGGCCACAGGGTCGTTTGCATCCATTGATGCTATTTTATTTTGTGGCTTACCGGGTATACAGTATGCCCCGTGACTTTTCCCATCCAGTAACCCTTGTTGCGGAGAAGCAATAACCAGGAGTGTTTCAGTTTGCATATGCACACTTGTAGGAACGGGCTCTTTATACTTTGAGCAACACCAGCACTTTTTCCAGGAAACTCATTTTATTTTTAGGATCAAGCTGCCACGTATTTAACAGTGAAATTCCAAAGAAAAGAGCCTTTATTTGAGGATAAAAATACTCGGGCTTACCCACATATCCTGGCGTTCCACAGGCGGTGGCCATGTGGGTTTCGTTGGTCTCGATCTGGGACAAACCAAAGTCACTGATCATAATTTTACTATCTTCTTCTTGACTGTAGTAGAGTAGGTTTTCTGGCTGCAAAAATTGAAGGAAAAGAAAGCGTCCGCATTTTAGCAACTGACTGTTTTTTATGTTTCAAGTTCCAATTCTATGTTATTATCACAATTCGGTATTTGACTGGGTGTTCGATCATTTCTGAAGAGGCTCTAATATTTCACGGTTTACTGGTAAAATTAAAGCTAGTTTGCGCGAGAGGATTATTGGAATACCAACGTTCTGCCAATACATTTGTTTAGTTTCGTTGGGTAAAAAATGACGGGTACTGTCGGATCCTTGGAATGACAAATAAAATTGTGGATTTGCTGAAAGAGCTCATTTTACTGCGCATTTCATATGAACTCACCTGACTGTTTTGTTCCAAATCCTACATTCGTCATTCCGGTTAAGTGTTTTACAGCTTACCCGTTCATTACGGGCAGTTCTTCTAGTGTAGACATTTATTTTTATATCAAGCTGGTGCGCCGACACGTCTACTGTGTTTGCAGTTGCGTACAGGAAGACGGTACACCTTTGGATCAGCGAAGGACGCTGTGTTAATAAATCATCATGTGTCTGGTGCTGGTGATATGAGGCGTTCCAAAGGGTTCGTATAAACCACATTGTTCGGTGTCATTCGGCGCTTCCTATTTGCTCATCCAGTTGGTCTAAACCGTACAACCCACTTTTATTATTTCCCTGAGAAGAACTAACTAATGCACATTACTCATATATATTCGGTAGAGAGTGCTAAATTTCAGCTCACAAATAGAATTATTTGCCTCCGTAGATAACTCCACTTGACGCAAGTTTTGGCTAGATATAAGAAGTATCCAATCTGGGGTAGATTGTTCCCAGTATTGAGATCCGTTTCAACTGATCTAACAGACGATGCAATTTTGTGCTTTCCTTAATAGATAAAATACCCTTTCAAAAGATTGCTGTGAAAAATATGACGTTCAACCACAGGACGCCGGGTGACCCATATTTCTGTCATGTGACACTGGGCAATCACACCTTTGGATATTTCTGCCCTTTGAACAATACCACACGAATGGAGTTGCACAGTAAATTTCACCGCCTATATCTGAAGATGTTCCAAAGAACTTCATCTGACCATAGTATCAGATGAACCAAAATCGTAAAACACTCCGTTAGCGTAGAAGAAGGTTTGCGATCTCCTAATGACCATAGGGACACTGTCACGGTAACAAAGCGGCCGTTGTGTCATCGTAACCGATCGAATGGTGGCTGAATGGTAGATTTGGGCGCTTTTGCGTACAACAAGATTTGTTTTCCGCCTTTTTTATGCACAAAAGTTAACAGACAGATTTCGATAGAATAGCCGATAGAAAAACGGAAAAAGACATTACAGACGAACTATCAAATCCAAGCCCTTTTGAAACCCGTAGAGGAAGCCTCGGAAGTATTGTACAGTTTACTGTATGCTTGAGGGAAAGCAGTCCACAATTAACCCAGCACGCCCAAATGTTAGAAGGTTTTGATTGGTTTTAAGAGAATTGTCAGGCAAAAGCTGGTATTGCATTCGCTTGATAGTTGAACAATGCAAGAAGTCGAGTAATGCACATGTAGTGGGCTACCTGCTAGAATTCTAGATCGCTGAAAGTGGGCTTGACACACAATTCTGACCATGAAATGCATATTGAAGATAGTTTAGAGAGCTGTTGTGTGCACACATGCCTAAGGCATACCCCATAGATTGTCTGCAACCTGCACCGTCAGGTAAATTCACATCTACATGCACGGAGTGGAGTTGCCTAACTGTTGAAAACCTTTGCGTAGTCAAAAATACGTCCAACACCATTATCTATTTATTCATGATCCGGGTGCTTCCTCGGATACTTATCCGCGGTATCTAGCTGCGATGCAACCTGCTCAGGACAAGCGTTAGAAGTGCTCGGCATTGTCAGGGTGGCCATGGATTGACTGTGTGGAATGAGAAGAAGTAGATGTATGGTGCTGATGAGTATTTCCTCGCCATAATCTCAACCCTGCGTGCAATTGGCTGTTATGTCCATCAACCGATGCTCATCTCTTATCAAGAGATCTGCTTTCCTCAATCTGCCAGCGCTGTTATTGGACTGGGACTTCTTAAGTTCACAGTCAGTGACTTGTGTTTACTTGCCATTGTGGGCTCTTTGCGTACTTACGACACTTTTATGCGTGGCACATGGCGTTAGGTGTACATTTTTGCCATCTAATCTCACACCAGACCCAGTATGACGGACACTTTGTGCCTGATGTGCGAGTTTTGACTGTGCTAGCGATTAGCGCGCCTTAAAGGGCATTCAACGCTCTTTGTCCTTTCTCGGTTTGTTGGTCTTTAGACGCGTGCTTCTATACCAAAATCTTTACATAAATTGGGGTTCGTCTCATTTGACTGGAACTGTCGATGGCATGACTTCGAATGTGAAGTTTCTCTTTTTTACCTCATATTCTCCTGTCACCTTTTCGTATTCGTCGCCTGCATTCCTTTTTTATGTTTGTGACCGTTCTCTCCAAAAATAAGTGATTATAAACTCAAAGTATGTTTATCTCACCACAAAGCCACCAGTTATGCTAATACCTATTAGTTTACTGCATAAGATCTTGGCATCAAAAGCCAGTAATCTCTAATGTATTGTTTCAAACTACGATTCAAGTCACACCTAAGATCCCAACGGTTCGCTCACTGCCCATTGGTACGAAGATTGAATGATGTCCACAAACTGGCACCTAAACATTCGTGCCTTGGTAGCTATGGCAACTAGTGGGAAAGTATCGTGGCATTCTGTAAATAACATGGATAAGATCGAGGAAGGATTGAATGTGAAACGTGTTGTTTACTTAGAAAATGTGAACAGCGTTTTGTAAATTAAAAACTGCCAGAATGGAGACAAAAACAAATATGCAGAAATGGAATTTCTGATCTGATATTTTTTTTGCCTACGGTTTATCAATAGGGTCTTGGTGAGTATCCGAGCGACTTGATTACACACCATCTGTCACATTAAATGTAAAAATTAAAAATCTTTCAAGCCATGTCAAAACCCAAGGCCGCATGGTCTAATCGGCAGACTAGTAGCAAGATTCCAAAAAGATCAAAATAAACCCAAATGAAGTTTTATCCTAGCATAAAAAACATCCTCATAAATTGTGTCCATAAATATCTCCTGACTTTTCATTTTGGCTTCCGTTTGGAATGCGAAAGCCATTCGCATGCCCAATTTTACACAGCGAAAATTTTAAACTGTTTAATAGTTTGTGTCTCTCCGCAACTTGTAAACGTTTGAACCAGTAAGTCTCATTAATGGACATATATAAGCTACTTTGATCACTAGAATTTCCAGTCTCCGTTTTCCGATAACGTTCGAAACATCCCATCCATAGTACTTAGCTCTGGTTAGCACCGCACGCGAATTCAGGTTGCATCATTAGTTTAGTCCATCTTTGAGGTAGAAAATGCAAGACAGCACAATGCGAATTGATACTGTCGTAGACGGTTTCAATGTAATTCTGAAGGTGAATTTCGGTACAAACTCGATACCCTTGTTGCCTTTGACTGCAAAAGCAAGGAACTGCTTGCTTTGCTCAATTCACAAAACGACAACTGTACGTAACCACGAAAAATAGTTGAATCAGGTTCAGATACAAATACGTCTGGGAGTAAAAATTAAAAGGTCTCTAATTTAAACCAATTGTCTGTTATTTTAGCTGGAAAGAATTTAATGCTGTCCTGGCCGAAACTCATTAGCACACGGAGTCAGAATCACCTGTGCGGTAAAGCCGCGTACATGTAACCCACTTCATCCATACCTGATGATAATGCACGTAAGTGGTAATTCGACCGTGATCTAACTCACTTATGAGGAACAGTGCTGTAAAACTATTTAAATCTGTTTGATGAGAGAGAGTGTTTCTGAGGTAAGCACACATCGAGCGATTAAAAAGCCGGAAAGGCATGCCTCTTTTAACCAGGGAAACCACCATTCAAAACGTAAATTTATTCTTGAGGGTTATGGCGGTGCCTGAGGACACTGCAAAACCTGTGAAGTATTTCAGCCCATCAAAATGTGCTTTGAAAACTGGTAGGCAACTAATGCCATTGATGTGGAAGCTTCGGGTAGTTAAAACAATTAGAGTACTGTAAAATTCCACGCCACAAAACCCCATATATAAAAGAGTTTACTTCTATGAAATAACTAATATAATCTGATCCAAAGAAGTTATTTGAAGTTTTGTGCCTTCTGGTACTGCAGAAGTTTCGTTGATTTCGTCTTCTTGATAAGTTTAAACACTGTTAACATAAGTAGATTTTCCCCCTTACACGGGCAAGCAGGCCTTAAACTAAATTAGTCAAGAATAAGCAAAGTCATCTAAATGTTCACCCATTGGCCGGAAGGTTGCGGGGTCCAAACCCTTCGAGTTTCAGGACATGTGCACTGTTGAACATCCTCACTATGGACTAAACAGGTTTACAGAGCTTTCCCAGCTTTTCAGCATAGATTAACTTCAAGGACAGAAAGAAATCTCCAAAGAAAAGAAAGCAATTTTTCAAAATCAACTCATAAGTAGTAGAGGTTTGGATAGACAAGCTTATTTGGTTCTATAGTACATTTTCAATGACAATGTTTGCTTATGCAGTCAAAAATGCGCAATAATAACCAAAGTTTTTCTCAGTTACGGGCTAGCTCAAGTTCGGTTGCCACCGAAATAGTCTGATTTGAGAGGTGGCCCTTAGAGGTTGCCGCACTGAAATAATTTTTTTCCAACGAATCCGCTTATGTTAATTAAAGTTGGTTAGTTACATATATGTTTGAATTATGTCAAGTAAAGTACTTCAGTATGAATAAAGTAGTAAATTTTCCTTCAAACGTAGGTGTGATTCGGGTTGTTTCCTAATAAATGGTTTCTGCTATCAAAAACTCCCAAATATGGAAGCTTAACACAAACAGCTCCGCTGTTGTTACGCAATGAACCCAAAACTTTGTTTTTTGTTTTTCTTTAATTACTCCAGATTTTTGTAAGTCGCTGGAACA